GACTAAATTATGAATGTTCCTATTGTTGTTGTCGTCTATCTGCACCATTTTTCTTCTTTTTTTTGTATCGCTTTCATTAACTGCTTAGTTTTACAAGGCACTTCTTTGTGATACGTTTGTTTTATTAAAAATTTCGTGTGATGAAAATAAATTTGAGTTTTGTATCGCTACTCAATGCAGTGCTGAATGGTAGGAAACAGAGGAAAATCGGAACGAAACAGTAAAAACCACCGGATTGGGGTCATCATAGTGCCCGCTGAGTTCGACTAGTGGATGAGTTAGTTGTTATCGTATACACAATATCAGCGCTCTCACTTAGGCAGCGTTCAGACTTCGCGACGGCGGCGCTTCGGTCGCGCGTTCGGGCGATAGATCGCGCCCGCGTGCGACGCGTCGATCGCGTCGCTAGTGCTAGCGTACGATTGTGAGTGCGACTGATTAGAGGTGAGAGCACAGTGGCGGGATGTGGAGCGAAAGCTCGGGGCCGAACCAGAGGAAAGTCGGTCCTTCTGCGAAAGTCGCTTATTTGTGACGCAAACACCTGCTTGAGAACTACGGCTCTATTCTATTCTGTACTCTCTCTCTTACGGCTCTGTTCGGCTTTGAGGGAAGGGGTTATTTTGCACTTCCACCTATTTCTTTTACCAGTTCTCGCTGCAGTCTCTATTCAGTGACCTGTCAATTGTGGACGAAGCTTATCGTAATGGGTGTATGTCGTTAGGCGCGATCACTCGCCACTGACGTGTTAAAACATGCCAGGCAAACAGCCTTCCAGGTCGGGCAACTCGTCCGAAATTTCAAATCAGTGCATTTCTCTAAGTGACCGTTAGGAGAATACTTGACCAAATGGCAAGGGCACTCAAGCCAGCGCCCAGGGCTTCACCCAGGCTATCAATTACGGCAAGCTTGTGATTCGAACGAGTTACCCAACTTGGTAGACACATTACCATTACCTGCTGGAACAAGTAAAGGGCAATATAAAAGCACCAAACGACCGCCTCCCCATGCTAATGCATGGCTTCACAGAAATCTGCAAGTCTCCACTGGAGTCACCGAGGGTGATCAATGAAAACCAGCAAAATGCCCCCATCAAGCTGATGTGCGTCGTTTTCTACTCTACCAAACCTATTGCAAAGCTTGCCAAGCGCACTGCCTTAAAGGAATCGCTCACGGAAAACCGAGGTTTCTTTATCAGCTGAGGGTGTGCTACAATTCCCTATCAGAGGCCATGTGCAAAGCCCCGAGTCTGAATGTTCAGTTGTTGAAGAGTAATAAGCATCTGAAAATGTTGGTCCAGCTGGCCAGCTGGACACGGGGGCGGAGCCAAAAAGGCCCTTGGAACAGATTGCGTGGCATGCACGGCAAATTCCACGGCAGTCACGGCACTGTGTAAACTGGCGCCGTGTAGCCAAGAAAATCCACGTTCTAGCGTGTCAAATCGATAAGCTAGTGAATAAGACCTGATGAGCGAGTGAATGGACTGGTTCGCCAGAGTCTATATCTTGGATTTTTACTGTAGGGCTCAAACTTTTAGTTCTACAGATATGGGTATGTGGCACTTGCTGTCTCTGCCTAAAAATTTTGATCTGTACACAGTTCGGGAAGCCTATTGGTTGCGTAATTGTCTAGAAATTCGGTTTTCCTCTGGAAGACAGCTGAAAAGCCTGGGTCTGGTTTGCTATGAGTAGGTTGTGTAAGAGCAAACCTGAGCCAACACTCTAGCTTGAAGCTTCTTCATTTGCCACCAGGATTCGATCGCCCGCCTTCATTTGATGTTCCTACGTCTTCCTTGGATATCGTAGCTTCGTCGGCAAGGGTATAGGACGTTATAATTTCGCACCTCAAAAATACGACAGCACAGGTGGGCGGGGCCCCATCCGCTCAGGAAGAGGATGCCGCTCTGCCCCCCTGGGTGCCATAATTGCTTTGAACTAGCCTTCAAAACTGATCCCTCTTCCAAGAATAACGGGTAATGGAGCTCATATATTACGTGAGTCAGTAATGAAGAAAAAGGCAAAAAAAAATCGTGGAAAATTCCTATATAGAACCCCATGCTGGCCAGGTGGGCGGGCGGCCGACTCTTCACTAGCGAACGGCGCTATCCTCTCGCCTTTTTGAGATGCAAAACTAGTACATACTGCATCCTCATAGGGAGGGTATATGTTCATGATATCCAAAAGGGGCGCAGGAACACCAAATGAACGTGAGCACTGCATATGGTCAAACATTATGCGTCAACTGTTCCCGAAGGAAACATCGTGTG